CTGGGTGGCTCAGTTGGTTGAGCAACTGCCTTCGGCCCAGGTCATGATCCTGGAGTCCCGGGATCGAGTCCCGCATCGGGCTCCCTGCTTGGCGGGGAGTCTGCTTCGTCCTCTGACCCTCCCCCCTCTCATGTGCTCTCTCTCTCTCTCATTCTCTCTCTCTCAAATAAATAAATAAAATCTTTAAAAAAAAAAAGATTTTATTTACTTGAGAGAGAGAGAACGCGTGCGCACATGCATGAGGGGATGGGGGAGAGAATTTCAAGGAGATTCCCCTCAGCACAGAGCCTGCACCGGACTCAATCCAGGACCCTGAGATCTTAACCTGAGCTGAAACCAACAAGAGTCAGACACTCATCCGACCGAGCCCCTCAGGCGCCCTGATGTAGAACTCTTACTAAGAATGACAGACTGCTTTCCTAAATGGCTGGGCCAGTTTACACTTTCAGCAGCAAAAAACAAGAGTGCTTATTCACCATGTCTTCACCATACTTTCATCTCCTTTTCCCAAACAAAAAAAACCTTTCTTAATCTGAAAGATCAAAAATGGTATTGTGCTCATTTCTTTTTCTATGATAATTTGTAAGGCTGAACATCTTTCCAAACTTTTATTTTCATCACATTCTAACCTCTTCCATAAATGTTTTAACCCCGGGAGTCAGACGCTGACCTGAAAGCAGATGCTGAAGAGAGGTAGCGTTGTGTTTGAGAAAATCTTCATTAAAACTTTCCAAATCCTTGTTGACAAATATTTTCTGCATTTCTTGAGATAGAACTTTGCTCACAATGTCTGGAAGGTTACTATGATTAGACACTATAAAAACAAAACATTTGAAATTAAACATTTTTTTAATCTGTCCTTTAAAACAAAATCAACTAAAATACATTTAGATTTATTATTAAGCTTGATATATTTTACATAGTAAAAATATTGCTCCTTTCGAATATAAATACATTCTAGCTTAAAAATGCACTAATTTCTAGCATATCTTTGCTAGCATGTTTAATTTATAGATGCACTATAGATTTTTTTTTTTTTGACAGAAAAAGATAGTGAGAGCAGGAACACAAGCAGGGGGAGTGGGTGAGGGAGAAGCAGGCTCCCCGCCGAGCAGGGAGCCCAATGTGAGACTCGATCCCAGGACCCTGGGACCAGGACCCGAGCAGAAGGCAGACGCCCAACAACTGAGCCACCCAGGCGCCCGATGCACTATAAATATTATCCTTTTTCTGCTTTGTATTATTGCCAATCTCTTTAATGTCCAGCTTAATGGAAGACTGCTGAACCGTCATATTTGCTTTTACATTAATATTACCTTTTTTATACTTACCAGATTTAGAAAATTTAATTAAACATTCATGTAACCATGGGTGATTACTGTTGATAGCAAAAGCTCGTTTGACAGACTGCAGCATTAACAGAAACTTCCCTATTTCAGAAAAAAATATAAAGGTTAACAGCATCAATATTTATGTATGTTATTTTAGTCACTTTATTTTAGCCTCACTTAAATTCCAGTAACAAAAGGTTACCTTTCCTGTAACATTCATAAGCAAAATTCAAAGCTGACTTTGTTATCAAAGACAACTTTTATTTTCTAAAGGAAAGCTTGAAATCATGTAGAATTGAATGCTTCAGGTAAACAATTTGTATGACTGTTCGAACTATTCTCAGAATGGATTTGATCATAATATTCTAACTGATCACCCTGTAAAGTTTTGAGTAGCAAAGGAAAAAGGGATTGGGAGCCTTTGTGGAAGGCTGAAATGGAACTCTAACAAATGAAAAGAAAACCAATCTAACTGATAAAGATTACACTGAATCTGGTCACCAATATAATAAGGATTAACAACTGAATTCAAACGATTACCTTTTCTAAAATATATTTCAAATGCTAATAGATGAGTGTCAATGTTATCAGCAACAAGGTTCTTAAGAGGTATAAGGAACTTGATAGCTTCTTCTAATGGATTTTCAATCTATTTTGAAACAGAAAGGAAAATTATTACATTTAAAAACAGCTACACAAGTTAAATTTCCCCCCAAATCTCATATTAACACATATCTAAAGTAATTTACAGTTCTCTTTATATGACCAAATAAGCAAGAAAACATTTTAAAACTATCATCTGTAAACAAATGCAAAATAAATAGTCAATAATTTCAAAATGGAAATAGCTCTATTGTTTTTATGATCATAAAATTAATATAATCTCATAAAACTCCAAAAAGTCCAAGAAATTATTCCATAGACTAAGGAGATGGGACACCAAATATTGAGAGCCCTTATTCTTGAAACATTTAAAGTAAGGAGGCAAATACAATTGCATCATGTAACTGGAAAAAATGACCAATTTAAAATCCTTATACTAGATTCCACAGTAAATAAACCTGAAAGTTAAATATTTCCCTAAATCTGATCCCTAAATAACTATGGACACTTTGAGAAAATCCCAGAGATGAAGTGCTTTCTCTTTGTAGCTAAAACCTATCAAGATCTATGTTTCCAGATGTAATAGATAATTGTCTGGCTGCTGTAACAAATTACCAAAACTTGAGTGTCAATAAAAAGCAACACATAGTTATTATCTTGGCAGTTCTGTAGGTCTAAAGTCCAACATGGGTCTGGCGGGGCTTAAAAATCAAGGCGCCAGCAGGACCACGTCCCCTCAGGAGGCTCTAAGGAAGAGTGTGTTTCAGTGCCCTTTTCAGCTTCTCAAGGCTGCCCACAATCTCCGTTTGTGGCTCCCTCATTCCCTCTTCAGAACCACTTAACAGAGGGCTGAGTCCTCCTCACGCCACTCCAACCCCCTCTCCTGTCTCCCTCTACTTTGAAGACCCACTGTGATTATACTGGGTTCACCCACATAATCCAGGCGAACTTCCTTATTTTAATAAAGGCCATCTGCCACATTAATTCCCCTTTGCCATGTAATGTAACACATTCTCAAATTTCAGGATTTGGAATGAGGCCAGATTTAAAGGGCCACTATGCTGCCCACCACAACTACAATTCTATGTATAATTTGCATTAACCAAAATTTGCATATTATTTCTCAAAAACAATTAAGTACTATCATAATGACCTTGAAATATTACAAAATGGCTTCCAATCTCTAGATTTAATTAAAACACGTTCATGACCAGAACAGAACCAAATAACATAAATCCTACAAATAAAGACAGCAAATTCATCTCACCCTTTCTAATTTTTCAGGTATAAGTTCTTCTTTGAGACCACTGGCTTCTTCTTCTTCTTCATCTCTTTTTTTCTTTTGATTTTTTTGTTGGCGTTCCCTTTCTGCATGCTTTCTCTCTTCTTCCAGTTTAGCCTTTTTCTGAGCTCTTCTTTGCTTACTGAGCATTTTCTTCAACTCTTTGGCTGACAGGTTTTCTATAAATATCCAAATGAATACAAATTCTAAATCAAGGTTTCCATCTTCCTCACATTCTTCTGCAATACACAGTACTGTATTAAAGCAATACAGCTTAAAGAGGGGAAAGGGGGAAGGGGCAAGGATACAA